AATAATAATAATAATAATAATAATAATAATAATAATAATAATAATAATAATAATAATAATAATAAATGAGGCACCTCAACATTTTTTTTTTTTTTTACTTAATCTCAAATTGTACACAGTCTTTTCACATCAAGGACACACAATGGGAAACATTATTAGCATTGGAGCCAGTAAAGAAATTCTTGTTCTGTTTTGTACCTCCATGATAAGAAATGTTTGCAGTACTCTAAGAAAAACCTGGTATAAAAGTCTGTCGATTGCTGAAATATATTAACTGCTTCATCATTTGAAAAATTTCTTTAAGTTTGCTGGCCACTCTGTCAAAAAGACGGTATAATGTGTGGTGAGATTACCCAACATCACCTTTAACCCTAAACTGTGACCCAGGAATGAAGACTGTTACTATGAGGTCAAAGTAACAGGCCCCTGAATTGAGTTTGACATGCGGCATGTATCACATTGTATTTCATTATATCAAATTTTAAACAATAATTTTCACCTCACTGTGAAAGTCATGTTTTATACAGAACAATGAACGTCCAGACTTTTGCCGCCTTCAGGAAGATGTCAAATTTTTTTCATAATACTAAATAAGAAAATCGATTTGGTTCAAATGTATGACAAGCTATAATTAGCAAAACACAGACAAACCATCTTAAAAAATGTTTCAATGCATATACAGCAGTATCCTGGTAAAGTTTTATGATTTTTATAGATGAGAACAAATAACTTACATCTGAACTGTATCAGCAAATGTATTTTTTATTTTATTTTTATTTTTTCTTTAGCCAATAAAAAAAAAATCATCCAAAATGTATATACACAGACACACATTTACATTTTTGAGCTAGATATTTAATTGTCCATATAAAAAAGTAACAATATTAAGGAATGGAAAAGAATAATATTAATATCCCCACAACATTTTCTTTTAACTGAGGGACATCACAAAGAGGGAGTGAAATAAAGACAAAAAGCTGTCCAGCTGGAACCCTCAGAGACATTTGTGTTGTGTTTTATTTGGGTTCAGTCTTCAGTGTGGTGATGTGTCCTCTGCGTCTCACTCTGACAATGAGCTTTGTCCAGGAGTTTGCTCTCGAACTGTTGAACCTGAAGGACTCTGCAAAAGACAAACACAGATTGAAAGTTGCAACTAGCAACACTCTCATCTAAATGGTTTTGTACAAAGAAATGTACTGAAACAGGTGTCTAAAGAGAAATTCACAGTCTAGGTATTTGTGCTGTCAACATAAAAGGGGGGAATGAACCCAGAGGGAACAGTGACTCATGGAGGAGGTTGTTATTTATAGCTCACGGTAAATCCCAAACCTTTAGACCTAATGTAATGGGATTCCTGTCGTTGTTTGCAGACATTCTAGCCCTATTCAAGTTTCATTTTATGATGAAACACTTTCATATGGCACTGATTAAATATGGGGATTTCCAAATTCTCAAATTCAGATGGCCTGTATGCAAACATCACTACAATGATATCAGAAGTCGATTCAGAAGCAGTTTGAAGTGTTTTTCATGAGTATGAAAATCCACTGAATTCCTTTCTTTCTTTCTTTCTTTCTTTCTTTCTTTCTTTCTTTCTTTCTTTCTTTCTTTCTTTCTTTCTTTCTTTCTTTCTTTCTTTCTTTCTTTCTTTCTTTCTTTCTTTTTAGATTTTGTCATAAGTTCTCCTCTTATATGGTAAGATAAGTTTTATGTTGTGGGGATTTTCTTCAGGGAGACTGGTCAGGCATGGTGGATAGATGGATGGAGCTAAATTCAGTTCAATTCAACTCTAAAACAGCTTCCATACTCCCAAAAGGGAACTAAATGCTGTCATAACTCACATCATTAAAGTATCTTTGAAGAGTCGTGGACTGTGATGGGCAGGAAGAATCTATTTTGGTGTAAAACTCCAGTCCTTGAGGTCCAGTGGCTGTCTTGCAACTTTCAAATATGTCATTGCTTAAAAAACACTTCAAACGGATGATTAGGTTATGCACAGGACTCTGCAGAACTTGACTGCATGCTGTGAGGACGCAGTTCAGCTTTTTCATTCAGTCTGTTCCAGACATCTCAGCATTGCAGGACCCAGCTCTCAAGTACTGCAGTTTGACACCCATTCATAAAATCCCAATACAATCAACATTTGTGACTGCAATGTGATCCAATATGAAAAGTTTAAGCCAAATGAATAAGTTTTAACCCCTTAACCTGCAACGGAACACCCTCGTGCCATTGTTCCCAAAACAAACAAACAAACAAACAAAAAAAACCTATTGGCAGCTACCACTAAAAACACAAGCTATATGGTGTTTTCTTTTACTTTGGTGTGAATTAATAAACTAATTTATTCCTCATAATTCAAATGTCGTCTAGTACAGGTATCAAAAGTGATTGTCCCTTTTGTTCAAAGAGGCTTGTAAAAGTGTGAAGTTTTTTTTAATTTTTTTTTATGTTTCTTAGATCTGTAGTTCAGCGGTGGATCAGGTGAAAGAAGAATAAAAAGAACATGTTTACAGAGTAGCATGGTGGAGGCATGCTTTGCTTCCTCTGCGACTGGAAACCTGCAATGTTCATGGGGCAATATGGATTCTAACAAGTGTCAGGAAGTCCTGGTGGAAAAGGAAACTGAAGCTTCAGTGTCATGGGGCCTTCACCAAGGATAATGACACTCAAGTTTCAGCTTGAGTGTCATTATCTTTCAAATGTCTTTGGCTTTTGTTCTGGGCTTGATATACACACATTTTTACGCATTTTCAGTGAAACTACATGATCATGTGTGACACACATGATCTGTCTTTACTGAAAGATATGATGGCCAGAAACTGCTGTTTATACACAGAGTTTGAATAGATTAATTCAACAGCAATGTAACAGTTTCTCATTATCTGGGCTTTCCCAAATTGTTTAAAGGCATTGCAAAGAGTTAACTTTATGTAGGGTTTGTAAACTTCTGATTTCAGAGAAAAAAAAAAAGTATATTGGGATACACCCTCATCACCCTCATCCATCTTCCTAAAGCAGAACAAATTTGATGTCAGGAAATAGGAAACATTAACTTACACCTATCAGACATTTATTTTTTTTTAGTATTATTTGTGTTTTATTTTAAAAAAACATATTTATGTAATATTTCTAAATACATAACAATTTTACATTATAAATATTAATAGATATTTTTTAATGACTATAATTATAGTGAGCTCTTTTAAAAGTGGACCTTTGGAAATATACATTTTATTTAACTTTTTTTTTTTTAAATGGTAAATATTTCCTTTTCAGTGGCATTTTGATGCTTATCCCCCCCCCCCCCCCCCCATTTTTTTTTCTTTCTTTTACTACAAATTATAGTTCCGTTTGACTGAAAACAAAGGAAATGGGCGAACTTACTGTCAGTAATCAGGGAGTGCACAGAGGTGACGTGTCTCCTCCCCATGCCGTGGCTCCTGGACATCACGCATTCCACGTAGATCTCCCAAAAGACCCGGGCCAGGTCCCAGAACAGCGCCGCGTGTTTCCCGTCCTCTGAGGACCGGAGGGTCCCCATAAGGTCCCAGAAGGCGGGGACCGTGTCGGCTATCCTCGGAGATCGCATCTCTAGCAGCAGGGCCGAGGAGGAGTCCCAGCACTGCGGGTCGGCCCGGTGGGCCGTCAGCGGATCCACCTGCGGCAGCTTGTGGCCCCGCAGCGGGACCGCTGACATGCAGGTCAGAACAAACACAGTGGCCAGGGTCAGGTTAAAGAGAACCGGGACCATTTCCTCTGGACCAAACGCAGATAATCTGACACCTGTCCGACAGTGTTTTCTGTCAGATAAAATAATTAATTACTTTTAGAGAAGAAAAAACGTTTAAATGACAGCATTCAAAAAAAAAAAATGTTTTTACAAGAATAAAAGATAAAGATTCGTTTTTTGTTTACTCCTTCATGAAGTACATTTCAATTATAATCCAACAGATGTTTTCCAAATAAAAAATGTACTTACCACTTGTTCTGGCGTGGCAGCCTGGGTTTTAGCTTTGATGGGAGTTTGATACATACTTGTTTTAATATTTGGTGACGTCACTGCACTCCCTCCTTCTCAAATGGTGGCTCCTGACGTTAATTATGCCTTTTTTTTTCAAAGATAGACAGACAGATGTTCACAGATTCTCTAACAGACTATAGCTTTATTGCAAAGCAAAATGGGCAAGAATTTCAATGTCTTGTTGTGGAAAAACTAGTAGAAACTAATCCTGAGGCAACTGGAAGGGACCACTAAATATTTAATATTGTAATAACATGACATGTGATAAGTTGAAGATATCTAACTTTAACTATTCTTGGGGTCGGAAACCCAAATTTGTGTTTGTTGACGCTGAAATGCTTAGAATGCGATTTTGATCAATTAAACCAAATTTAGCCCATATCAAAAATACTGTAGTTTTGTGAATGGGACTTCCATTTAGTAGCGCTTTATGGCATTATTCTGCTTAATGTAAACCAAGAAACCAAGTTGTTGTTTTTTTCCCGTGGAAAACATAAGTAGTCTAACCTCACAAGACGTTCTGTCATTTGTAAAACAAACTCATCTCTAAATAATGTTTCAGAAAGTGGTAAATGATTTTGTTTTATGTGCTTTTACTGAAATGTCACATGCATACCTTATCTCAAATGTAATTATTTTCACAGTGAGGGGTCCGACACTAAATGTACTGGATGGATGTCTTACTCACTCATTCATTCCTCTGATGATGCATAGAAGTTGGCTTCACAACACTTTCACTGCCAAGGATGAATTCTAACTTTTAAATGAGGAACATTACATGCCGGAAAATAAAATGTGATGTTAAGAGGCATCTAGAACTAACATGAACTCGATTTTCTTTTTTTATATATATATTTTTTATTTTCCTGTGTCTTACTCATTATTTTATTGTTAGTCATATCAAATTATCTGAAGTCCCACTTCCCACTTCCGGTCTCCTAGAAATGAGCCACCACTCAATGTGGCAAAAAAGTCTTGAGTTGCACAGAAAAATCACAAGTTATTGTCTAATTCTCTCATTTATAGCACTAGATGCATTATTATGCTCTGTTCAGTTTACATAAAGTTATCAAGAATATAAATGTTGATACTTTTTGCAATTGCAATAGTTTCTTTTGAACTTTCCTTTGTCCAGGGTTGGATGATCATACAACATACAGCTGCAGTGATTTAAAGAATTGAATTGCATCAGTTTAATATGATTGTACATATTTTATGGTAAAAGTCTTTTAAATGAGAGGCTATAGATGAAACTTAACCGTACACCCCCATTATTATTTTCTCAAAGTTCTTGCAGCAAGTTGCATTTCCACCACATCCTTTCTGTAGATTATTTTATCATAGAGTTCATTTATTAGTTATTTAATTGTATTCCTGTCACAGACTTGTCTTTTGCTATTGTCCCATGTGTCTGTGCACTTGTGTTTTTGATGATTAATTCATATATGTAATATTTTTGAGCTTAAGCTGGCTTTTAGTTGCAGCAGACTTGTTCATAAGTTCCCAGACTCCAAGTCAATGATGACACTTAGATGCACATGTTGAATTTGATGAAGATCAGGGCAGTTTTGAGATTAACCTTTTATCAGCGTGGCAACAGAAAACTGTCGAGAGACACTGGAGAGTAAACCACGACTGTTTTTTTTTTTTCTTCTGGTGCTTATCTAGTTCTTGTGCGGTCATGGCAGGTCTTGTTTTAAAGGTTTATTTTTAAATGTTACCCGCTTTTAATTTAATAATTTTTTTTTTTTACCGTGTGAAGGTAATGCCTGAAGTTTGTTGTTCAGCAATCAGATATTGAAATTACTTAAATCAGTCACATTGGTTTATTAAGGTAACTTTCAATAAAAAAATAAGTAAAAATGCAAAAAATGATATATTTTCTGTTCCACATTAAACTGAACACGTAATATTTTACTGAAACAAATAACACTGAAAAATCCAAAACATTAAAAGGACTTTGTTAGGACACAGAACAGAAATCCCCGATTTAACTTTCAGCTTTTTAAGTTATGTAATTCGAAAAAGACAGAATAAAATGCACCATGCCCCCCAAAAATGATGTGTAAATTATTACAGCTACATCAGACGCACAATGAAAATAACCACAGCTGAGATAAAATTTGTCAGTAGTTTATTAATGGGTCAAACTGTACATGATGCAGTGAGAGAGGGACACCAGACGATGAGCAACATGGAGGATCACAACAATGCCAGTGCTTTCGGCAGCACCTGGAACACACCAACTGTCAGCTGGACTGGAAATGATGATGGACTTTGCATCATGAAACTGTTCTGGCCTCGCTGTGCGCAGGCACCGCACAGTTCGCTTGTGTGTCTGATTAAAAATTTTAAACAGCATGAAAGAAAAAAAATAATAATAATAAATAAATAACAGACAAGAAATGACTTACATTTCCACAAATGTAAAAGGGCGCTCTCTTGCTTTACGCTGGAAATATGGATTTTTATTTATTTATTTATTTATTTTTAATTGTTTTGAATTTTTAGTTTATGCTCACCCACAGTTCGAAGCAAAATGAAACAAGATGTTGGAGAGGCCAGATAGAAAAGAGTAATCAGCTGAGTTTTTTTTTTTTTTTTTTGTAATTCCATGTCTACGTTGATGTCACTATTATCCATACTTTTTGTGCAATATCTCTCTTTGCATAGTAAATAAAAGTTAAATGTTCTGGTTGTCGACATGCTCCTATCTTTTGTAGCATATTTTTCTTGCAGATTTTTTGGGGGACTCCCATATAGAATTATAAGCCCACTACAGTGATTGCATGCATGCAGCTTTATCAGAAGAGCCAAACTTGATTCCTACTCAGGGGTTTATGAGAGCAAAAGAGGCTAATGCCAGAAAGGTGGGTGCTGATGAGGACCTGCCTTGGGCAGTCAAAGGCCTGCATGGACAGACTTCATGCAGGCCAGTGGGGGCGGGGAGGCACCACTGGCTGCAGACAGAGTGGGAGGGAAAGTGCTCTGTGTGCAACAACATCCATCTGTTCAGGTGATTGATTCTTTGGCTTTTGAGTCACCATTAGCATTGCTTCATTAGGAAGGGGTTGGGGAGACCTTTCCAGACCTGATTGCAGTCTGGATCCCTCTAGAGCTGCATGTTTCTCCTCTGTCTGGCCCAAATTCCACAAGCCTGTCTTGGGGTTTATTTCAGTTATGTCTGCTGTAAAACATGCTAAGATAGAAAACGGAAGCAGTTGAGGTCGTTGTGAAATAAGCAGTCGATTAAAAACCCGAACTCCTTATTGGTGTGTCATTTTACATATTTTTCTTTGTTAGTTGGTCTGCATTGTGCTCACATGCAGCACCTAAAAGAGGAAATTGAGCTTTAACTGGTTTTCCAGTGTGTTTGGTTTTTAACGAGGCTTTCTCCTGCAATAGATAAGTCCTTTTTTTTTTTGTCTTTGTATGTTTTTTTTGTTTTTTTTTTATGCGCTATATTCATAGCTTTGTTAGCCATGCTGAGCCCGAAAGAAAGGGCGTCTCATGCCAAGGAGGGCCAGCAAGCAGCACACCTTGTGTGTAAAGTCATGCCAGGTGAGAGGATGGTGTGGATTCCACCTGAACGCCTGTGCACTGGCACTAAAAGGAAGGGAAAGGAAGTTACATGTGGAGTTGAAAAGGCTGCAATTTTAATGTCACTACAATGGGAATTGTTAAAATGTCCACTATGTCTTTTTCAAGTAAATCTAATGCCAAAAAAGTCAGCAGCAGTAAGTGCAGTCCAGCTGTCAGGTAGCCAACTAAGGAAGCCTCGGAGGAGTCCGTCTTCGACTGTCACCTCTCCTTGAGTTAAATGGCCTGGGCGTTGGGGTCGTAACGCCGCTTCTTCACATTTCTTGTGTGGAGATAAGAAAACAGCAGTCAGTGTAATCCACAAACATTTCTGCAACACACTTAATGCAACGTGGACAGGCAACCGCACTCATCTCCGCAGCTTACAGTGCTGCTAATATCTCATTTTCAAAAAAAAAGAAAAAAAAAAAACATTTGGAAGCAGCTATATTTAAAAAAAAAATTACTGTAACAAGAACTGTTACAGTATCGAAGTGAGGAGAGGCTTGTCCATGTTGACCAGTTCAGCCTCGACTGCAAACAGACAGAAGTGCCTATGGTCACTGACCTTTAGGTGTCAATTTATGATAAAGTAAAGGCTTAGATTTTATGCTAGCTAGAGTAATATTATTCATACCTCTTGACCTTGTTCCCATGTTGTGAAGTAAGAAATGTTTTACAAAAAGAAATTGAAAAGTGCTGTAAATAAAATTAAGGGAAATTATTTGCCTTCAGAAATCCCTTAATTAGTAAGTATTAAAAAAAAAACAGATTAAAGTTGCTTTTACTCCAATCTGACTGGGATAGAGTTATTTTGCAAAGAGGGACTAAAAGAATTGTTGCTGTAATCGCAACAAAAGATAATTCTACAGAGTATTAACTCATCATGACAGACAACAATTTTTTGCCACAAATTGTTCCAATTTTATTTGTTTTAAAAACATCTCATTATTTCGTCTTCAAGCGGTATGAATCCTTTTGCGATAAATTGTATTTTTAAGGCATCAAACACTGAATATATTAACTCCTAATCCCAGACTTGTAATCTCCACGTTTTAGTGGAAAATAAAGAACCCATGCTGGTTTCCGAGTATGAACATCCTCTGTTTTGCCTCTTTTGCAGACAAGTGCTGACTGGCTTGTGTGCGTGCAACATCAGCTTCCACAGTGAGGTGCGGGAGACTCAATACCAGTTTTGATGGGAAAGACATTGTTCCACTCAAAACAAAACCATCTAGGAGGAAGGAACTAACAGGAAATATACTCTATGGAGGAGGGAGAGAGTAGACAACCACAAGAACAACGACGACAGCAGCGGCAGCAGCAACAATAACTACTACCAAAGAACGGTGGGACAACACTGAGCACGACAACAGGAGTGATGCATAACCTCCCCGTA